GTGGGCATTTTACTATATACTGTATCTACTTCATACTGTATTAAATTAAGCTACTGATATATGAACTGTTTTTTTTTTGTCAGCTTTGAAGATAAGCAGACTCAAACTTAAATATTTAAATAACATCAAGATGTAAGATTACATAACATTCCTACTACATGTTACATTACATTACATTACATTACATCTCTTTATCTCATCTATTCAAATGCTGAATTTTCTCCACTTTTGTTGCCAGTGGAGGTTATGCAATTTGTACAGACAGGACCTCTTTTTGCACCAGTGTGAAGATGGGGCATTGTTTATTTCATTTTCCGTCTTTACAGAATGGAAAAGGGTACAGAGCTGCAAATTTCCAGAGTTCTCATTAAACATGAAGATATGGAAGTGTAGTAGATAGCTTCCAGGGCTAGATCTGCAATGGGGAAAATGGCAGGCCCTGCTTTGAACTTGGTTTGGTCAACAGAAGATGAAGAAATGAGCCAGAAAGTCCAAAAATCAATAATCAGTAGATCACAGTAGGCTGCATTAGAGCCCTTGTTGAGAGATCACTGAGTACACTTGGAGGACGCCAGGAAGTAAATGTAGGAGGTGAATGAATAGAAGCATGACAAAGAACTAAAGATGAACATATGGGAGTCTGGTAGTTGTTCCAGTATTGACCTAGTTTGCCACTAAGGTTCCTTTGAATGTGAAGTGTTTATGTATGCCTCATTAAATCATTGCAGTTAAACTGGCCCCAGGCAATTTTTTTAAACCATTTAGTTTTTTTACACACTGCAGTGGCAGTGCAGATGTGTGTGTGTGGGGGGGTGTCTAATGTAAAAAGGTATATTTTAGATGGCATGAATACAAAATTAATAAACTATTAACTATAATATTTTTTACATGACAAATCATCTCAAGACATTTGAATGAATATGTGACATTTCCTGCTGCAAACTAAACTTGACTTTGAAGAAAAATAAAGGTTATCCTTGAGTGACAACAAACCGCAGCTTCTAATCACACTTGGTACTTTTCTCTTATCTCTTTTGTGGAGTTTAAGAGATATTTAACAGGAGGCTGATTCGCTCTTCATAATGTCATGTGCTGAGAATGTAGATTCTGTCACTCTCTTATAGAGACAGAGGACAAATCACTGTCCTTCACTCTGCACAAATAAAATTTCTCTTTTGTACAACCTGAGGGGGAACAATTCAGTTCCAGCTGAAACCAGTGCAGTCTCTGGCAGTGCTTTCAAGATTGTGAATGGAGCAGAGGCAAACATTTTTTTAAAGATGTGAACATATGAGGACAAAATACAAATAATCACTAAGATCTTCATATTGTGGTCCTGCTTTGCACTGTATTCTCCAATGCCCTTTTGTAATGAGTAATGTCAGAAGGAAAAAGTGTGAGTCTTTAAAAAAAAAAACTGAACAAAGAATAATTTGTCATTTTTGTTAGAAGGAAAGTTTTACTCCCTGAACTAATCTCACTGTGATCACAATCACAAAAGTGTGACAAATTAGTGTCTTAAAACCCAGACAGAAAGTTTGATATAGACAGTCTATATCCTTTAATTTGTCACTGACAGGTAAGCAGGGATCAGATGTCTGCAGGAGTCTCAGCAATGTGTTTCTGTAATTTACTGCACTTTAATCAAATTATGAGCACAGACATAACACTAAAGTATGTAGGCGCATGTCTAAATTCAGCAAATTTGTTCTTAGAATGGGGGGAGCTACCAAAGTTTATAGACCTCTGTTTTCTTCTTGACATTTACACCTCATTTCCCAGTGGGAAAACTTCATTTTTTTATTCCAGTCTTATGCTTTTAATTCTTGCATTTGTTATGATTATGGTTACACAATTCATTTTTACTGATCTAAATGATATTTGCTACAGGGGAAATATTTAACATCACAATTGTCACAGTAACTTCCATTGATCATAAACTGGCACAAGTGACATGAACATTTTTTTAATACCAGGAATGAGTAGGAGCTTGCAGCATTGTGTCCAAAGGCTCATGACTGGTGATTTTGCAATGTGGGAAAAACATTCTGGCTGAGATATCTTTTTTTTTCCTTGAACCATTTTAGGTTATGTAGCTTTCTGGGGGAAGAGTAATATCACATTATTACATCAAATAGAGTACATGTAGTAAAAGTACTCTTTTGCCATTAATGTGCTAAATTCTATTTGAATCAAATATTTTATGTTTGTGTTTATAACATTTAGAGAGCTCACTGGATTTTTAGTGATCCATTACTGATTTTTAAACAAATGCATTTTAGTCTAACTAAATGTTTATGCTAATAATGTACAACCGTACCTTATAGTTAATTGTAGACAAAATAAAATCACTGTTTTGGTCCCATTTGCTTTTAAAAAATATCAAGTTTTTAATATAGTACCTACTGTAATTAACATCATTGTATGGGATTTCACTGCTGTACTTGTGTGCGAAGGGTCTAATGTGTTTCTGAGTTTCATTAAGTAGTTTAATTTGATGCATGCTTGAGTATGCAGGGAAAAAATTAAAACCTCATTTCTATAACCCTCATGCACACGTGTATCTCTCTTGTGTATGTTATTGTATTGCAAATGCAGGCTCACTAATGGGTATCTGAGTTGACGTCTCACTGGGTTGTCTCTTTTTAACTTCATCATCCATTTAGCAAAATCCCTTGATATGATGCAGGACTTACAAACGAGAGGAGATGTTCTGTTCAACAACATTAAGCTGTAATTTAAGAGATCCAACTTGCCATTCCACAGCTTCCTAGCTTTTCCTGTGAGTAACAAGTCTTAGAGTAAAACAATGATATGCTGGCAAACCTGCCTGTAATTTCAGCACCACTGTTCTTTAGCTTTTGTAAGCATTTTATAACTTAAAATACTAATGCTATCAGTCAAGGAAGGAGATATTTATGTTCCTCATAATTGTCATGCTATTTATGGGAAGGAGGGGGTCTACAAACCTTGTAGCCACAGAACGACAGAGATATCAAATTTGCTTGCTTTTCAAAAATATTTGACCAGCAAATTCTGTGGATTCAAGGGCATTTCCTAGAAATAAACGCGTGTTAATAAAAGGGGCAGCAACAGCACTCCTTCAAACAGACAAGGAGTCCATTTAAAAATTATCAGTATCAGTGTTAGCAGATACAGTATGTCATCTCTTGAAACTGTTTCCATTTACTTCACATGCTTTTGTTTATGTGGTATTCTTGAAATATGAATCTAGGCAATGATACCTGACACATTAAAAAGTACCCCACATATTGGAACTAATGACTCTACAGTACAGCCTTGCATTACAGCATTACTCTCCCCTCAAACCTCTCACTACTAAACACTGCACTGTATCAGGAACATCACTGGTATATTACCACTGTGGTCCTGCTATGCAGGGGCCCCACAATCAACAAGATCTAGATGGCTTGTGTTGAAAACCCATCCCATCTGACTGAACAGGAGACTCTGAGATTTGCATGTACTGCAGAATCAGGCAGCAGGGTGCTTCATTGTGTGGTTTTGATGCTGTTGAGGGCTGCATTGGCCTTGTTTAGAGGTCATTTACTGTACCTGTCTTTTTACTAACAGGGAATTATCTAAGTGCAGTTGTTCATATATTTCTTATTCAGTCAATTTGATTTTACTAGAGACAGTGCATTGATTAAAAATTAATTCAAAATTAATAGTAGTACATTTTCTCTAGAGTTGCAGTATTACAAGTTTGATAAAAAATCATACAGGATAATGGTATTTGTTATGCAGATATAATATACAAGTTTTAAATGTGGATATTTAACAACAGCAACAACAGTAAAAACAGTAAAGAGCACAGCAGGTATAGATCAATATTTCCTGTTCAAGATCCATTAGACCTTTGTGAGAGGAACTATAGGCTTTTGTGGGCATTCTCCTTTCCAGCACATCACTAAGTTTATACAGCTATTGGTTTTTTCCGATATCCATTTACTACATTGGAGCATTCTGAAAAAACATGCTACATTTTAAATGTCAGTCTTAATAATGTAATAGTTTTTCTATCACAATTTTCCTCCTCTGCTAGTGACTTGCCTCCAGATATCATTAGTATTTCCAAACTGCTTCTGCAGTGAAGAATACAGTTCAAAGAGAACCGAAGATTGAAATGTTTTTTTAACTTTCTCTACTCCAGGGTTTGAGTTTCTTTTAATACTAAGATAGCACACTACTTGCTTATTAATAATATTACCTACTCCATTGAAAGCCAAAATAATATTTTTTGCTCACTTTTTGTCCAGATAGTCCATAGGAAACCTGTCCTCCAAACTCTGTTCAAGTCACCTGACATTTAATTCAAATTCAGATAATATGTGAGTAATGATATTGTTTTCAACAATCTTAATAAGAAACTCCACAAATACTAGAAGGTGTGGCATTTCATGATATGCTACACCTCTCCAGAAGAATAATTTTAAGATTGTAACTTATTTCCAAAACTTTAAAGATGTTTAGTTTAAGTTCTTGCATATGAAAGGTATTTTTTTCACTTTGTTTTTGTATTGAATTTGATCCACCATTTTATTATGATTTAAAACATACTTTGTTAATAATCACTATAAGATATTAGAAGGGATGGTGCAATCTTGTGGTATTATAGTGTTATTGTTTACCTTTATTAATGAGTCCAAACACTTTCTGTACAACAGTAAATGTGTTTATTGATACATATAACAAACCTGATTAACAGTCATTTACAAACAAGTACGGTTAGGTTCTTTCCTAAAAACTATTTAAAAACTCAAGTAAATATTTAGAATAAAAAATACCAGCTTAATAAGAAAGAAAAGTCCACAAAAATTAGAGTGCTCTATTTCTGTCCCGGATTCTTCTGTAATATTAGGCTGCATGCTTTTGTTGTTGTCCTTGTTGGTGGCTTGATTTCAGGAGGCGTTAAAGAAACACGTACAGGCAGGGCAGAAGAGTGGACACCTCCACAATAACATGTTCATCATAGTTGCTTTAACCATCAAATAACTTAACGAAGAAATTGCAAAGTGAATGCCAGCCGTCGGCGCAGTAGTTTTCAACAGGTTCCATTTCGGACTCTGCGTTTTCGTCGTTCACCTCACCAAAATCCTCCTTCTCTGCCACCGGGGGCTTCTTCTCCTTCTTCCTGTCAGCCACCTCTGGGGCTGCCTCTTTCTTCCTGCCTCCTCCCTTGCCCTTTGCGCTGTCCTCCGCCCTCGCGTCAGCGCTGCTCTTCTCAGACAGCTTCATGTGGGACTCGACAGGAGACTTTTTACAGAGGCGGGTTTTCAGGATCTTGTCCCCCTCGCAGGGGTTCTTCTTCTTCTTCAGCTTGCTCACGACCTGTTTCCAGTACTGGCTGGACTTGGAGTTGTACACGGGGCAGAGGGTGGGTTTCCCTAAGTACTGACACCAGTACGTCTGGTCTTGGTGGTTACAGTTGATGAGGAGGGTGACCTCCCCCTCACCAGAAGCCTCCCAGGTGCACCTGTGGCTATCCTTGGTGATGAGCTCCCCTGAGCTGGGAACAGACTTACTTCTTCCCTTCTTGGCCAGCTGCGTGCTGTTCCTACTGTCCCTTTTGCCCTCCGTCCCTGGAAGGCCATAAAGGCAAAGAACAAAAGCCAACACACAAAGTAGCCTCATCTCATAGAGCTGCGTATTCTTACGGACGTGATATTCAAGTGCTGCCAAGCATCAGTAACTGGTCCACGCAGGAGTGATAAAAAGACAGACACTCCGGATTGAAAAGACCTAGAGAAGAGGGAGAAGACACCCACCCCCCCTAGAAATTAATGTCATTGTTCAAACCTGACATCTTGACGTGAACAGTATATCAGTTTTTTTCCCATTTAATGGGTAGTCAAACTTCATTGTAAATATTGTCTGGTAAATGGATGTATATAGTGGTGCATTACATTTGGAAAGTTATGTTTAATTTGGAATCAAAAAGTCCCAATTGGAAAGTATAGAAAACACACTTCTCATGTAAACTGTAAACAATAACTTGGATCAGTGAAAAGGTTAAGGAGAACTTTGATTCTTTAAAAACAAGCCTCGCTGCCAGATAATTCACTTTAACTTGTGCACTTTCCGCTTCTCAACATAATTGGCTATGGATTTAAATACTAATCTGTTTACAAATTAATTCATGTTTTGACACCTTTGATTATTATGCACCCTTATGGTTTAGAACAATTCCATGTGCTCTTGATATTTTTATGGGGTTTCTATAAATCAAGAAAAATGTCAATATTTAAATCATTTAAATATCCATGTGTCAATGATCAGAATTGAAGACTATAAAAGTAACTTTCCTTAAAGAAAGAAGCATGCTGTGAGAACAAATACTTTTTAATAAGAATTTCTTTAAAATTTCAATTTTCCTTTCAATCCTTATCACTTTTCACAGCCTTCAGAAATTGTCACTTACCACGAGGAGTGCCGTACCTCAGGAATGTCGTGCGAGAGCCCTGGCTGGAGACAGCTGTCTGAAGACGGGAGCAGTGAAGGAGAAGAACAGATTCAATGGGGATGCCGAGACCTCCCCAGACCTCCCCAAACCCACGCCCCTCCCCAATTCATGGCAGGCTGGAACAGCATAATCTCAAAGACCAAGCAGACTCGCCTACTTTTCCCTGAGACTCTCCCAGGACACTTCAAACGGTAAATCAGTTCCTAACTACTGCAGAATTTAAATTCCACTAATACACACATACTGTATAAGTTTAAGACTGCAGTCAGAATAGTGTTATAACAATATTGTGAATTGCCTTAATTAATTAATGTTATATTTATTAAGCTTTAATCACAATATAATGAAGACATAATTTGAAGATCCAGGGGTTGTTTCAAAGACCCTCATCAGCTGCTCTCCTCCCCACTGAGAGCTGATGTGTGGTGAGTGTTCTGGCACACTATGGCTGCCGTCACCTCATCCAGGTGGAAGCTCGATGTATAATTATGATCATACTTACAAATTTGAATATATAAATTGCCATGAGACAGCCCAGAATTGGCCACAATCAGTCTGTGAAAACACTAGCTGATGTTTAGAAACACACTATACAGTTTCCCAGGTCATGCTAAACTGAAAAAGAGGTTTGCACCTGTCTTTTTACTAATAAAACAATTGAGTTTTTTATTTATGTGTGAAGGAATTCATCTGCTATATTTCACTGTTCTGTACATTGGAGTGAATAAGGAGTTTTGTAAAATGAGCCACCATTTCATTCCAGAATCTTTATCTTGAGCTACGGGCTATCACTTAACAATGTGAAAATGCATCAGTAATAATTCACAGAAACAGTAGCTTCATCCTCTGAGGGTGATCTGCACTTACTAGTCCATCACGCAAAAAGGCCAGATACACCGCTTTTCTCAACAGAATACAGTGTCTGATGCCATCATTGGTGATCTTCAGTTAACATGATATTTTTTCAGATAAACTATTAGTGAAACAGTTCCATCAAAAAATGCATTTGTGGGAAGTAACAAGTCTCAGTCTTCACAGGACTCCATTCATGAATAAATAAGAGCCCCATTTCAGCTTCACTAGGAGTAACAACACCCAAGAATAAAGTGTCCTGAAAGAATTATGGGGAGTTTAGTGAAAATTTGGCTTAACCCACTTGGCTGAGGGGTAACCTCCTGGCCACAGGACAGGGAGGCTGGGACCCCCAAGCAGAGTGAGGGGTGACCAAGGGGCAGCTGCAGAGGTAGGGTGGAGGTGGGATGGAAAAGATGCATGTGAGGGAAAGAAGGGGATCACGTACAGTATTTATAGTGTTTTAGGAGAGGAAATGATGTGAGGAATGATTGCAAATTACTGACAGCTGAGTCGGATTGAATTTGGTTGTTGTCATCCCTCCTGAACTTCCATTATAAAACTCCATTTAGTACTATAGTGAGAAATCCATATCAGTGACCCTGACCGCAGGCGTATTTCCTGACAGTTAGCTGACAAGACTTTGGAGCTCTTTTCCAGCTGATCTGCCATCCTCTTTGTCACAGGACTGCAGCAAGTACAAGCAAGTTCCACTCGATTGCTTCCTTGAGGGTCTGTGCCAGCTGTGCTCTTTTTGGAAAACAGGAAAATTGTCCTTATTGGCACAGTCAGAACAAAGGTATTGTTTAGCTAACCTTTTCTGCACTGCAGAGAAATAGTTTTTTGCTGTTCTAAGCCTGCTGTGCTTAATTCATTTTTACATTCTCCACCTGTCTCTTTGGATGTATATTCGAAATGTTTATTATTTTATTATTTTATCATCTTTACAGAATGATTAATGACCATGTATGCTTTTGTTGGGAGGCAGCACCAGTCCTCTTAACAATGTGATTTTACCTTTGATTACTTAATTGGTCAAACATTTTGATAAAAGGCCTCCTGTTTTCTTTTTACCCTTAATCAGTTGCTAATTGCCTATAAAATCACGTTTGCATTCTCCACATCCCTAGTTCCTTTCTTATCAGGCAACAGTCTTGAATGAGGGGAGGACTGAAACTCCCTGCAGGGTTCATACCAATTACAAATTCCATTTCATTTTTCAAAACCTGAAAATACGTTTAGAAAAATTTCCCCGAACAGAAAATTAAAATTAATTAGCCTGTGATGAGGACCTTCGCTGGAACAAAAAACAGAAGACACAGCAGTCCCCTAGAAACAGGGTTGAGAACGGTTGCTATAAAGCACCAGAAGAGTTGGGATAAGGTATTTAACTGGCTCAATTAAGACAATAATAGGATACCCTTGGCATGTGTGCTCCAATCGTTCGTATCTGTCTGTCCACAAACGTCATTGTGTTAATGGATGCTGAAATAAATGATTAAGGTTAAATACTTGCTTGTGCTTGTGTGGTGTACTGTATAATGTGTTTATGTGAAACAGAATACTTCATGTAAGAATGTATTTCCGTGTGTAAGTGTACCAGAATCTTGGGTGAACAAAGCATTTCCTGTATTCATGTAATTTGCAAAATGCCGCAGTCAGTCAAAGAAGTTCATTTATTTTGTTAATGGTAGATTTTTTATATTTATTCTTGGAGGCAACATTTCATGACATTTGGCAGCCACAAATGAAGCACATCATCACCATCTACTGGTTGAACTCTGCAAAACTGGCAGCAGCTTGGAAAAGGGTTATAAAGTCTAAGACCTTTAATCTTAAATTTTTTAAATAGATATCTGTACTGTATAAAACAAAAAGCAGGTTCCCACCCAAAAAAAAATCCTACTAAATACTGCAGAATTACTCACATAATGCACAGGAATTTTGGGGGTCACCAATAACATTTTCATAGTCAGCAAAGTAGGAACTTCATAGAGTCATATCTTCATAGACCATGAAAGGGATTTCTACAACACTGTTCTATTTTAAATTTGATACACAGAGTATAGCAAAGAGGATCACCAATCAGCATAATTGAAAATTAATTGTAACTAAAATACCAAATGAACACATGGGCTATTGCTAATTAGTAATTTATTTGTTTGATGCTTGTAGCGAAAGCAACTTGAATTTGTACTCATACAGACTGTATATCTAGATTCTTTGGTAATTATTTTGGGTGAAATACCTTGCTCAAGGTATGATGGGCTGTTCTACTTAAGATTTGAACCCACAGGCTTCTAACAGGAACCAATACAAAGTGCTCCACCCTGTGAAGCAATGTTAGAGTCCATCTAGTTATAATGATTTTAATGATTGCTCAGCCCAATACAGAGTCACAGACAGCCAGGTACTAACCTGGCACATTGGGCACAATGCAGGATACACCCCAGGCAGAATGCCAGTCCATTGCAGGGCACACACACTGGGACAATATAGAGCATGAGTTTGGACTGTGGGAGGAAAACATGAAAACATGCAAACTCCACACAGACGATTCCCAAGGCTGAATTTAACACCCACCATGTCACCAGTGGTACTCCATAACTTTCTAAATGTTACCATTCTTCTGAAACACAGACATTGTTCGGCTCATCTTCTGTGTTTTTGGATGTATACTGTGATGAGAAATATGACATGATGTCTATAATATCTGCAGTTTCATTAGGAAAATGTTTTTTCCTTAAGCCATTTACTTCCTTATTTGTTAGTATTCCTTATTGTCAGAGGAAAACTCATACTATGCAGAACAGACCTCCCAAAATCAGTTTCTGGATCACAAATAATACAACCACTGAAACACCAGGAGAAAAACTTCAGCGTTCAGCTGAATTGCCTATTTTAAAACACGCGTCACCCCTTGCTGTGTTTGTTTGGAAATTCATTAATTTCCAACAGATACCCGCCTGCCATTAATTTAATTTACTGTACTGGTATGTATGTCCCTGTGGGGCTCCCAGGCATTATTTCGTATCTAAAGACATAACAGCACATCAAAAACAACACAGTGTTTCTTTAAGTCAAAGAATATTTTCTTGCAGTCTGCCAGCTCTCGCACACTGTGGTTGCTCTTATTGAACAATCAGCTATTAGCATCATGCTTTTAGTACAGGACTGTGTACTGTAACTGCTTCAGTCATGTCCAAGATATCTGTTCTGTCATATTGTGCAACCTAGTTTTGTCCGTGAAGAGAAAACAAACTGAAACTGATTTGAAGATCATGTGGTTTATATTTTTGTACTGTATATCAAAGCGTTTTTCCCATAGCATTTTAATAGTTTTCCTTTTGTATTTTTAAAACATCTATGCTTTGTTTAATTTTTCTGTAATACTTAAATTTTTACAAATGCCATTTGATTGTGATTGCATGAAGTTATCTGAAATATTTATGAAATAGGGCTATTTAAAATTCTTACATTTTAAAACTATTTCATTTAATTATATACAATATGAATTCCCTGCCAATGAGTGTGTGCTCAAAATCCTCAGCACACTAATCTTGTGATTTTAAGTTACCAGCACATTTTAAGATTATTCCTTATTCAATTAAATTGTTGTGTAGAGGAACTGGTCAGTAACTGGATGGGAGACCTCCTGGGAAAAACTAAGGTTGCTGCTGGAAGAGGTGTTAGTGGGGCCCCCAGTATAGTAATGAGGACACTATACTGTAAACAGGCACCGTCCTTCGGATGAGACGTAAAACCGAGGTCCTGACTCTCTGTGGTCATTAAAAATCCCAGAGCGTTTCTCGAAAAGAGTAGGGGTTTAACCATGGTGTCCTGGCCAAATTTCCCATTAGCCCTTACCAATCATGGCCTCCTAATAATCCCCATCTATAAATTGGCTACATTACTCTGCTCTCCTCCCCACTGATAGCTGATGTGTGGTGAGCGTTCTGGCGCACTATGGCTGCCGTCGCATCATCCAGGTGGATGCTGCACACTGGTTGTGGTGGAGGGGAGTCCCTATTACCTGTAAAGCGCTTTGAGTGGAGGATCCAGAAAAGCGCTATATAAGTGTAAGCAATTATTATTATTATTATTATTATTATTATTATTATTATTATTATTATTAACATATGACAAGGTGGCCTTAACCCCATAGATTCCTCAGTGGGATCTTTCACATATCCACCTACTCAGCTCTAAT